TCCAATTTATGCTCAGAATTAGCTTGTTCCAGCATAAAGCAAAGCAATCTGTTCCCGGTACTTTTATTGAAGAAAACTCAGCTTGTGAAACACCTTCAGCGTTTTAAATATGCCGATCAAGAGATATGCTAAATTCGGCAGGCAGTAAAAACCGTTAAAATGAAGTTAAAAACGTCAACCTGGCAACGCTTGCACTGGCGGTCAGCAAAGCACATCTGTCAACGCAGCATGGAATTGAAAAGCATTAATATGAAGCTATCTATCTTTCTAGGTATGAATGTGCATAAAGAGAGTAAAATTAAAATCAGAGTTGATACAAGGCACGAATTTATTCGTGCTACGCAGAGGTGTGCAGCGTAACATTGCAGGCGACCAGTGTACTGTAGGCCAACAGCATAAATACTAGCAGCACAACAGCAAAAAGTATACGAGTACATTGAGTTGACAGCAAGTACAGCCGTGGTAAGACTTGTTTGTTTACTTGGCAGCCGCTGCTATTGCCACCACTGCACTGGTACTGTTATCGTTCTCAGTGCATCGTTCAATCCTATATATAAAGCAAGGTTTTCTTTGCAAGTGCCTGCACGAAACATGGAGAATATTTTAAAAGCATGTAAGATAAATAAAAAAGAAAAGGCGAAGAATGAGAAAAGATTCTGAGGAAAAGCACCAATGAAATCGCGCAGCTTTGGTTATATGAACGGATTTGTGCACCTAAATACATTATCTATTAGCATAAAAGGTAGTTTATTCTTACATACATATGTACATCCATACATATGTACACACAGTGGTGGAAAAATAAATAGGGACACGACATTTCAACAAATTTTTCTTTTGTTTATTCAATATTTTTTATTTTTTTGTTTTATAAAAGTATAGCTGATTATCTAACAAATCCATATAAATTCATATTTCAAACTTTATGCAAAAATTATAAAAATTGTGCAAAATTGCATCTACATTTTCAACTTTTTAATTAGATTTTTTAGATTTTTTTTTTAGTATGCAGTTTTATAACCCATTAAATTTTAGTAGAACAATGTGCAAGTTTGAAGCTTCTAAAAAATCGCGTAGATTTTTGATAATTTTTTCCATACAAAAAAAATTGTCGAACATACTTTGTACGGAAGAATACGTGTTAAAAAAAGATAAAAAAATGCCAAAAATCAACGCGATTTTTTAGGAACTTAAAACTTGCAATTTA